ATCAATAAAGTTATTGGTGAAAATTAAAAATGTGTCTTTTATTATAAAGAAAAAAGGTAATGGACTTTTGGGCCAACCCTATATTATGCATTTGGTGGACAGATCATCTTTTCAAAGGAGCCGTTTGGTTTTCTGTGTGAGGTGTTTGTTGTGTTCTTTCCCACTTTGTATTTGTGTTGGTCTTACTCATTCATGGGAGTTTGTCACATTTATGATTTGTGTTACACATATCTCCTCGTTTTAAAACAGGTCTAACAACTTTTATGAGTGTTTTTTGCTATGCCATTTGGTTATTTCTCATTTTCATTTCATATTTAACATATTTGGGTCTCTTGCTCCTCTCTTTTAAATGATTAGATTAAGTAGTTTATGTGTTGTATTACCTTTTAGTCATGAAGTCATGCATTAAGTATATTTAGTAATATATGAAAGTGTTAATTATTAAATTTTAGATGAGATAACCTGAATAAAGGCCCATGATGCCAATTTTAAAAAAGAAAATTCACTAATATTTTGTAGACAAAAAAAGGAATAAAATGAAACACATCCAAATACTAACAATGTTTCTATCTGGTTAATGAGATAAAAGGTGATTTTAAGTTTTTATACATGTTTTGTATTATCTAAAATTTAGAAATTAATGTTTCAAATTAATAGACTATTTTTTAGAATAGTTTTTGATTTATAGAAAAACTAAGCAGACAGTACAGAGAGTTCTATATACTCACACCCAGTTTCCCCTATTATGGTACATTTATGAAAACTAATAAACCAATATTGATTGTTGTTGTTAACTAAAGACCACACTTCATTCAGATTTCCTTAGTTTTTTACTTAATGTCCTTCTCATGTTCCCAGCCCTTAATCAGGACACCACATTACATTTGGTAGTTGTGTCTCCTCGGGCTCCTCTTGGCTGCGATAGCTTCTCAGAGGTCTTTAATGGCCATGACAGTTTGGAGGAGTACTGTTGAGGTACTCTGATGGAATTTGTCCTATGTGTTTCTTCTGGTTAGACTTAGGGGCTTGGAGGAGGAGGACCATAGAGGGAATGAGTTATTTCATTGTATCATATCAAGGGAATATACTATCAACATGATAGATTAATATGATAATATAATAAAAACAACATGGTAATATAGACTACATGATTGGATTAGATGGCTTATATGTTTTCTTGGTTTGGTTTTTGTGGTATTTTTCCCCCAAAACAGCAGTGCTCAGATTTTTTTGATTAGTTCTGTTATTTTTCTAATTTATTACACTTAATTCATGTATTTCCATTCTTTCTGATTTACTAATATAACAGTTATGATTTCCTTCGAGTACCATTTTAGTGGGATCCCACAGATTCTAATATATGGAATATTTCTTATTATTCTTATTTTCTGGGTATTATTCACTTTTTATATAGACTTTTAAAAAAATCTTGGTTGTTTAAAAGAGAGTTTATTTTTATTTATTTTTAGTCATTTCACTGTTTATACCATAGTCACATTTGAATTGGAAAAACTGCTCCGTGACAGACAGGACAGAGATCTGTCACGCAAATAAAAATAAGTGAAGGTTTTCATAAAGCTTGAGGAGAGAAGTACCGCAGCAGCACAAGGACGGCTGCTGCAGCAATCTGACAACAGCATCAAGGTGTGCGAGTGGGTAGGAACAGAGGGTGCCCCAGCAGGTCGGCCAGCTCGTGTTGGCCCGAGACCACTGCTGGTTCCTGAGGGGAATCTCCCATTATGCTTGGTAAGCCAGTCACTTGTAACTCAGATGTAAACAGAATAGGGTAACCAAAAGAAAGTTTTTAAAAAGGTTCGAGTGGTAGGGTTTTGTGACTAGAACTCTATCTTATCAGTTACTGTATTATTTCAGCTTTTTTGCTGAGGTTTTATTTGTGGCCTAATCTACGGTCAATTTTTTGGAATATATGTCAATTAAAATTATCTTTTAATTATGCAATTTTGGTTTTCCTCTCTTTACCTAAGTTGGTCCCTGGATCTGTCATGAACTAAGAGAGGGGAATCAAAATCACCTGCCTCCACTGGGAACCTCCCTGTCCTTCCTTGTGCCTCTCGTAGCTTGTGCTCAGAATGCGGGTGCGGTTGTTTGGTGTGTTAGACCTGCGACTGCGGGTCTTATTCTTTATTACCATAAAGTGTTCTTTGTCTCAGCTAAAACCATGTACCCTGAATGCAGCTTTACTTGACTCTATGAAACCAATAGTGCCTGCTTAATTTGAGGTAACATTTACCTGGTATATATATGCCCTTCCTTTATTTTCAAAATTGTTGAATCACTTCGCTTTGGGGATGCCTCTTGTAGGAAGCACATTGCCGGGGGCTTTGTCTTACTCTCCAGTTTTAGAATCCTTTCTTTTTAGACGTATTTCTGTGGCCATTCATGGACACAGCTAGTATTTTAGTCTTAGTTTTCCTATCATATTTTATGTCTTTGTCTTTTTGCTTCCATTGCTTTTTAAAACAAAATCTTTCATGTTACAGTCTGTTTTGTGTTGTGTTCCCTCTGACAACTGGAAAATTTGTATTTTCAGTTCTCCTGGAGGTACCCTTTGGAACTATGTAAAATGCATTAATCTTTTTTTCTTCTTTAAGACTGCACTAGTTGTCTCCCTTCTGAAATAAATGATCATTAGCTTACCAATTTGGTCAATATTTTTATATGCTTTATGACAGCTTTTTTTCTAGTGAGATTTTTGGTTTGTCATATTTTTTTCGGTTCTTTTCCTTCTTTATTTCTCCTCTAGCATCTTTGACTACATTGCATGCTGGTCGCTCTTTGAAAAAGGCGAGGCTTCTCAGGTCAGCATTTGGTAGGGGACACGTGTAGAGGAGGTTCACAGAAGTATTCTAGGAGAGCAGCATCACTCCCAGGCTCCTGGGAATTTTGTCCCCAGGACTGTGGTAGTGATTTCTTCTGGCTTCTACCCAGATAGCAGACACCTGCAGCTACAGCCTTCTTTCTCCCAGTTCAGGTCCTTCTCCTGCTCTGCCTCACCAACACACTGCTCCCTACAAAGATGGCTGGCCTATGGCTTTCTTTGTTAGCCTTGTCCTCCTCTTTCCTCCCCTCACCCCCTGCCTCCCACTCCCCTTCCCGTGGAGACTGCACCCCATCCCTCAGATGGTTAACTTAGGCTCATGTCCATGTTTCAGGGTGATCTGGATGTCACAGGCAACTCCCACTGCCAGACCACATACCCTGTTTCATTGTTTTTTTTTTCCCTTCAGGAAGTGCCAGCTAATAGAGATCTGCCAGCTTTACTGAGCTTTGCAGCCACAGGTGTCTTCTGTAGGTGCTTGCTCACATCCCATTTGATCTTCACAGCTTTTGGCACCCTCCCCTTATAAATTGTGGTTCAGGTTACAAATGTGTTCCAGTTTTGCTGAAGATAGAATTTCTCCTTTATTTTGGGTGATTTGGGATATAAAAAGGCATAACTTTATTCTGCTATCTTAGAACTGTCTAGTGTTGTGAATTTTCCTTTTTATGTTTTCTGGTATTCCTCCAGGTTAAACATTAGCCAGAGCTCTATGGATGGAGTTGGCATGAGCCGAAGCTGGGGTCTCACCATAGAAAGGAAAGAAAATGTGAACTGAGAATAAAATAGGAGGGTTAAAAAGAGAAAATCACAGCATCCCCACCTGTGCTGTGTGGCAGCGGGGTTCCCTCCTCTCCGCCTGCACTTCCGCTGGGAGCGTGCCACCATTTGGGAGGGTGGCCATGGCCAGGTTGAGCAGGGGATGGAAAACACCCATCTCCTGGTCTTCTCGGGAAGTTGTTCCTGGCCCAGCAACACTCAGGCCAGGGTGGGGAGGGCACAGCCTCTGTTCTGGATAGGCTGCAGGGCTCCATCTCAGCCTACCCCAGGGCCCATCCAAGCACCCTGGCTCTGGCTGGTCTCCTAGTAAGAGTGGCCAAGTCCTCCTCCCTGACAAATTAGGATCCTGCCTCAGAGGTGGTTTCCAGAGTTAAGGTGTTTTATATGCCCATAGAAAGAGCTTGCCCCCATGAAGGGAAAGGTTTTACTTGGGATGTCCAGAGGATACAGCCAGAGAGAAACACCTGCCTTCAGAGTCTCAGGCTGGCCCTTTATATTATTGTCTCAGATTCCCACATCACCCAGAGGGAGACGCTTTACCTCCATTTTACAGATGAGGAAACTGGAGTCTCAGAGAGGCTGAGACCAAGAGACCTTCCTGTGGACACACAGCTAAGAGATGGAGAGAGGGGTTGGGATGCAGTTCTGTTTGGTTTCAGAGCCTGGACACCAGCTGGCTTATCCCCCTGCTTCCTGCTCACCCCCCACGGAGACCCCGCCCCATCCTTAGATGGTGGCTATGTGTCCTCGCCCAGGACTCTGGGTGACTGTGCTGGATCCTCGCTCTGTGTCTGCCTTCTCAACCCTGGCTGTTCCTTAGATGGCATTTAAGCTTCCCAGGGCAGCCAAGGACAGGAGACAACAGTTCCACATCCTACACATTTTAGGCAACTGTGTCCCCTCGGCCTTGGCTCAGGGCTTGTCCTCTGGAATCAAGTGCATCTGGGTTCCTCTCCAGGCTCGATGATCTTGGACAAGTCACTTAACTTCTCTGGCTTCAGTCCATTTTTCTAGAATGAAATGACCTGTGATTGCTCCTAGTATGGAACACGGACTCTGACACCAGCGGACTTGGTTCGAATCCTGGCTCAGCCCCTTATTAGCTGTAGGACTTTGGTTAATTACTTACTTTCTCTCTTTTAGTTTTCTCATCTATAAAATGAGAATAATGAGTATGTCTTATAGGGAGGTTTAAGGATGAAATGAGCTAATACATGCAAATAATTTAGAATCGCATCTGGCATGTGGCAAGTTCTAGGTAAGTGCCAGATATTATTATATTAATTAGTTATTATTAATGCATGGTAAGCACTCAGCCAAAGCATGTCATAGATGGCCGTCAATGCTGCTGCTATAACCTGTCCCCTCTGCTTCCTTCTAGGAGCTTGGGTCCCTGCCCCAGCCCCATAGAGGCTGTGGAGGCACACCGTCCGGAAGCCTGGTTCCCAGGCCCCTGGCCCATTCCCGACTGCAGGGAGTGGCGCTTCCCACGAGGTAGCGGTGGCCCGCAGCAGCGGCCCCCTCCTGGCAGTGAGCCATGGGCCAGAAGCTCTCGGGGAGCCTCAAGTCGGTGGAGGTTCGAGAGCCGGCGCTACGGCCAGCCAAGCGGGAGCTGCGGGGCACTGAGCCGGGGCGGCCGGCGCGGCTGGACCAGCTGCTGGACATGCCTGCGGCGGGGCTGGCTGTGCAGCTGCGGCACGCATGGAACCCCGAGGACCGTTCGCTCAATGTCTTCGTCAAGGATGATGACCGGCTCACCTTCCACCGGCACCCGGTGGCCCAGAGCACTGACGGCATCCGCGGCAAAGTGGGCCACGCCCGCGGCCTGCACGCCTGGCAGATCCACTGGCCGGCTCGACAGCGGGGCACCCACGCGGTCGTGGGCGTGGCCACGGCTCGGGCACCCCTGCACTCCGTCGGCTACACAGCGCTGGTGGGCAGTGACGCCGAGTCGTGGGGCTGGGACCTGGGCCGCAGTCGCCTCTACCATGATGGCAAGAACCGGCCCGGAGTGGCCTACCCAGCCTTCCTGGGGCCTGATGAGGCCTTCGCACTGCCGGACTCCCTGCTTGTGGTGCTGGACATGGACGAGGGCACGCTCAGCTTCGTTGTAGATGGCCAGTACCTAGGCGTGGCCTTTCGTGGTCTCAAGGGCAAGAAGCTGTACCCGGTGGTGAGTGCTGTGTGGGGCCACTGTGAAGTCACCATGCGCTACATCAACGGCCTTGACCGTAAGTGCACCGGCTGGATGGGGAGTGGGGGGTTCCAGAGTCTGCCTGTCCCTAGGGTTGTTGGGGGAGGGAGGTCAGAGGCACGTGAGGCCCCCCCTTCATCAGCACTTGGGATAACCCTGCCATGTGTAGAGCATGACTAAAAGGTGGACTCTGGGGCCAGGCCCTTGGGTTTGACTCGTAACTCTCCTTTGCTGGCTTAGTGATCTTGGGCCATGCCTCAGTTTCCTTACTGAAAGTGCAGCACAATGTTAGTAATTTTGATCAGGGTTCTGCCGAATATCAAATAAGATAATAATATATGTGGAGTGATTGGAACAGCGGCTGGGCACCTAGTGGGGGCTCCAAGTGTTGACGCTAATTTTGAATTGTTGGGTCTGTATGAGAGTTATGCAAAATGATGTGTTCTGAGTGCCCAGCCTCCTGCTCACAGCAGAAGCAGAGCGGCAAGTAGCAGGCACAGTCCCTGTCTTGAATGCCATGCACTCAAATTACTGATAAATAACAAATAATGATAACAACAGCTATTTATTGACCACCTACTATATGCAGAGCTGAACACCCAAACTCCAGCTCTTCCTGGTGAACTGTCTATTAAAGGGGCAGCTGCCTCTCTAGGGGAATGAGAGCTGCAAGTTGTAGAATCATCTGGTTTTTCTGAGAGGACCCAGAAACCTAGATTTTGTGTGAACTATCCCAATTTTAGTGGGATGTCTGGATCTCTCACAGACCTGGTGACCAGGCGAACCTGTGTGCTGAGACAAGCAACTCCAACAGCACTCTCTTAAAACAGCATTGCCAGAATTGCCAGAATTACTTGCTGGAACTGATCACTGGACTGGACAGGTGGACTTGGCGAGCAGCTCTCAAGTCTGGTGCGCCGTATATGGTGGTGTGTCTTTGGTAAATCAATCCCTCTAATGCCTTACGACTCATTTTACTCATCTGTCAGTTGGGACAACATCAGGTCCCTTTCATAGCTACTGTGAGATCTCGTGTAGTGGCACCAGTGACATGGTAGCTGGGATTAAAGGCTGATGTTGATACCCTGTGGGAGCTACCTCAGCCAATGAATAGTTGCGCCCCCAAGGTGGGCTTCCTGTTGGGTATTAATCTGTGGCTTAGTTTTCAGGTACAAAGCTAAGCTGTTAATAAGGTTGCAGCCAGCAGCTCTCCCATGCATGATAGGATTAGGAGAAATCAACCATGGTGTCCTCCTTGGTACGCTGCTTAGGGTGGAGGTCTGGGTGAGAAAAGACCATTGGGTTTGGGGCATTTTGAGGTCTTCGATCCTTCAGTTGACTAAAGACTTGATGAGACTGAAATTTGTGGTGTTCCATCCTCCCCACTGGTGGTGATTTTTGTCAGGTTGGCTGAAGCTGGATTGCCCAGCCAGGACTCCAGGGGAGTCCAGGATGTCATGTGATACAAGCCTGTGGCACCTTCCCTTCGGTGACGGGATTGACTTGTCTGCTGTGGCACTGGCCTGTTCCCCAGACAGGAATAATGTTCTCTATCTCAGGCAGGGTACGTCTTCAGGAAGGGGGGGCCCAGCCTCTGGGCTTCCAAAGGCCTATGATCGGTGGGACACGCCCTGACAACAGGGTGGGCCAGAACACAGCCTGCAGGGAATCTGACAGGGGCCTACACCCGCTGACCAGGGCTGAAGTCCACCAGTGGGTGCCTTGGCTCCGGGAATGGTTGGCCCTAGGGAGCGTCTGGGCAGGGAAGGTGACCCAGGTGGTGTTCTGTGCATGAGGAGAGCTCTGAACCACATTCATTGTGGAAAGACGGCAGGTCCCCAAACTCAGACCCTACTGGGATGTGGCCTCAGTTAGACAGGCTCAAGAACAGAGGGCTGGAGCTGCCCTCTGGGGTTGCTTCCCCACAGGATCGTGGGAGCAGGTCTCTGCCCAGGGCCCCTCGCAGGCCCCAGAGCTCTGCAGGAGGCCATGGACAATGACCACCTCCTCTCTCCGAACCTCATGGTTCTCCCTCGTAAAATGGGCATGATGGAGCACAGAGCAGACCCACAGAAGCTGGTGCTCATTTCTTTGATTAACTAGGTGAGCCGGGCTGCCAGGTCCTGGGTTCACCTAGGGATTAAAACACAAACAGCCTTAGTAGAGGCTTCTCTTCTAATGTGATTAAAGTAAGTTAATGGATACCATTTTCTCCATTTTTGAATTTTTATGACTGTAAAAGCAAGACTTAGAAAGTGCTAACTGCATTTAACTCTGGAGCATGTGCGTTGAAGGCAAGAGCTCCTGGAAGTGATCCTTCCTTTGCAAATGTGTTTCTTCAGCTCTGCCATGAGGTGAAACAGTGCTTCATCTTGGGTTCACTGTAAAGAGCTGCAAGGCACCCAGGGGCTCTGCCTCCTGAGGGAGCTGCAAAACGTGCAACTGAGGCCAGGCCAATGGGCAGGCTGTCTCCAGACGACAGGCTAGAGGGCCAAACTCATAACAACCGCGATAACTAATATAGCAACAGCAAAAACTAACAGAGGGCTCAGTCTGTGCTGGGCTCTATTCTAAGCACTTTTCAAATTCTAACTCACTTAGTTCTTGTGACAACTCTTTGAGCTAATGCCTATATTGTCACCTTTATTTTACAGTGAAGAATGGAGGCACAGAGAACTTGAGCAAGTTGCTCAAGGTCACACAGCTAGTAACTGGGGGAACCAGGTTTCACAGTTGGCAGACTGGTCCAAAGGGCCCCCTGTGGAGATGTCTGCAGACAAGGCAGGACAATGGACAGAAGAGGCTGCTTCCCCTGGCCAGGTGCAGCAAAGGGGGGGTCGCTTCCCTTCAGCCATGAGGCCCTGAGACGCTGTCCATTTTTCCTCCTCCCACTGGTTTCATCTCCAGCCCTCAGAGCTCATGGCTCAGCACAGGACTCCTCGGGGCATTCCAGAGAGCTGGCTGCATAAAGCCAGTCCTGGCAGTGGCTGTGAGTCAGCCATGCTTTGATTGCTAACGGAATCATGTCACTGAAAATGTCCCAACTGCTGTAAGGATTCAGCCCCTGGGGTGGGCCTGGCCTTTGGAATCAGTTCTGGGCTGGTTTCAGGAATCACTCCTGGGCTCAAGCTCCTGGCTCCTCCTCCATGCTGGCTGCCAGGAGGGCTAACAGACTGGCTTTGTCTCCCGTCTTGGAGTTCTTGGGTGGTGAGTGGTAGGTGAGTGACACAGGAAGGGGAAAGGAGCCAAAGACAGAGAAAAGCAGGCACGGCATCCCCAGCAGCTTTGATTTGGGGTATATAAGAATTATATATTTTTAAAGATACCACCCATGTTTCATGCCTTGGACCAAGTGTTGTACTCATTTTATTCTTTTTTGTTGTTGTTCACATAATAAACCTTGAGACAATGTGACTATTATTATCCCCATTTTATGAAAAAGGAAACTGATTCTTAGAAGGTGAAGAATTTGCTGAAAGCCACTCAGCCAGCAGGTAGCAGAGCTGGACCTAAACCCAGGTCATAACCACCCCTGTGCCCTGCCCCTGTGGCCTGGGCCAGCTCTGCCTCCGGCTGCCCACCCAGCAGGGCCCGATTCCACAGAGCAGGTGGCCTGGGCTGGCTTTCTGGGGGCTGGAGAGTGGGAACCGTAGGCTCTCAGGCCAAACTGGAGGAGCGGGCATGTCTGCCCAAATCAAGTCGGGGAAATTGTATTTCCAGACGTAGTTCCTAGATGGTTTAATTGATCTGCCAACAACTATTTATTGGTGCAATGGCTCAGCAGAAGAGTCTGGCAGCCAGCCAGGTTTTCTGATATTGATGAAGGCCAGAGGGAGTTTTCCACCAAGATGACTGCAAGGACGCCCTCCCCTTGCCAGAGCTGTCTCCCAGTCTGTGCTGAACTCACAACCTTCTTGCTCATCTCCCATATGTGTCCTGGGTGGCGTGGCCCCTGCAGCCTTGCTGACATCTGGACTCTGCTCCCCGTCCCTCCTGACCAGGTCCAGGCCAGGTCTCCCCTTCACGTCCCTGCCCTATCATTCAGCCCTGACTCCAGTTCCCCGCCAGCCCTCAGCCCAGGGCTGTGTCCTCTGCATCCTCGGTTCAGCACTGATTTCTCCCCCGCCCACCCCATTCACTCACTTTCACGGCGGGGGTCTGCCTTCTTTCCACAGATGGATATGAAGTTCCTCAGGGCACGGAGGGGGACTCAGGAGGCACAGGTGGGGAGGTGGACACAGAAGGATTTAAAAATAGGATGCATTTTCTTCTTAAAGGTAAACTGCACATGGGCAGCAAATTCAAACACTACCAAAAGGTGTCCAGTGAAGCGCCACCGCCCACCACTCCCCGGCTCCTCCCCCTGCTGGCAGCCACCCCTGGCAGTCTCCCATGTGTCCTTGCGGAATTTTATGACAGACGCTTTACACAAATGTGACCACACTGCAAACACTGCTCTGCATCTCATTTTTCCCCCTTACTCTGTCTTGGCGATTGTTTAATATGATTAACATAGAGCTGCTTTGTTCTTTATTAGCAGCTACACGGGTTTCCATGGCATGGCTGTGTCATAATAGTGAGAGAAATTTACTTTGCCATTAGGCATCAGGTTTGTGGATAATATATACAAAGTGACTGGGCTAGTGCCTGATACAGAGTAGATACTAAAACATGTGGGTTTAAAATTGGTCAGTTATGACGTATACAGCTCCCATAGATTGGTACAATTACTTAGTGTTATTAAATGTGGAAATAGTTTTTGTTACTAAATTTGAGTCCAAGGGATTTCACACCAGGGAATATGTTGGCTTGGAAGGTTTTTGACTCTTTTCTCTTTAATATACATGATGGAAATGCCACCTGAGGTTCAACGGCCACTGTGAATTTGTTACAAACAAGCTGGTCGTGTATAGCCTTTACTACGAGCAGTTTCAAGGGTTTCCACCTAAACAGACGCCTGGCTCAAGTGTCTTGTAGCTCCCAGTGGTGACTTGCCTGGTGAGCGTGTCAGCAAGGATGTCCACACGGGCAGCGTCC